CCCTCGTCCCACCCTCCAAATAGGGGGGCGGGGCGAGGGTAGTGCCGGACTCTCACCGGCTAAAAACCCCCCGGTGACCCCTACCGTGCGTTCCGTCGGCCTTGGGACCCCTTACGGATTGCACCAAGGCCGACGGCACGTCTGCCGTTAGGCTCATCCTCTAAGACCTTACAAACGCGGCGTCAAACCTTGCGGGACGCCGATCAGGTCGCGAAACTCTAATACCCGCAGAGGTAGGTCACATACCAATCTGCGGGTTCATCAAACGCGGTTAAATACGCGATCCGAATAAATACGCGGTACGCATTACAATAACATAAAATACGCGAATCCGAATAAATACGCGATGCGGTTAAATACGCGGAATGGATAAAATACGCGTTACGGTTAAATACGCGGATTGGGTACAAAACGCGTTGCGGTTAAATACGCGGATCGAACAGATACGCGGTACAAACACAAACATCACAGTTTAACACGTGGATAAATATAAAATAACGTAAAATTATAGTAAAGGTATAAAAGATTCCAACCTCACTATTAGCTAATCAACCGATCTGTTGTACATGCTGTCTCCTCGAAGAGGTAAGACCTCTTGACCTTCCCGTGGTGGAGGTTCTCAACCCTTCTCTGTGCCTCTCGGCGTCCTCCTTTAGGGACATCACCTTCTCGCAGAATGTGGTGAAGGCTTCCCAATGCGACTTCGACACCAGTGCCGCTTGTACCACTTCACCTACGTCTCGACAGCCTCCCAAGATGCCCAGAACGGTACTTCTGTGTGCGTCCCATGCTGGGCACACGAAAAGGGTGTGGTCCACATCATCACACTCGTGCTCACAATGAAAGCAACTCTCCGATTCTTCCTTTCCAATGCGGCACAAGTATTTCGCGAAGCACCCATGGCCACTAAGGATTTGTGTGGTTCTGAAGGTTACTCTTTCTGCACTCTTCAACCATATTCCAAAGACTGGTAAAAACGAGGACACCACTCGCTGATTTTCATGTTCCGGGAGTCTAAGCTGTTCTTCCCAGGCACTAAGAATTTCGACAGAACGTCGATTTTTCAGTAGAACTATATCCTTTGTAGTATCATCATCTCTCGCGGTTTTGCGT